TAAAATTCATTGCTATCACTTCCATTGAGATTAACCCATTAACGACCAAAGAGGTCAGTTTTTGGACATATTTTTGATCGCAAAATTCATTTGTAAAACGAAACAATAAATTGATCCAGGGTACCATACCATATGTTTTTGGGTGTGCTGAATCTAAATCCGGGCTCAAAATTCAAAAATTTTGCTTACATAATTAAATATGGCCGGTTTTTTATAAAAAAATAGGAAAATTTTGAAAAAAAAAATTTTTTCGAATTTTTTTTCTACCATAACACATGACAATATCGAAATCTTTCTTCAACCATGAGTGCACAAAATTGTTGAACTTTAACAGAAAATTTTTATATTCAAAGTTTTTTTTCCAAAATGGCGGAAAAAATGCCAAAATCTGGAAAAAAAATGCGTTTTAGGTTACTATTTTTTTCTTTAATACTATGAGGTTAAGGAAAAAGTTTTATATAACAAAAATGTCTTATGATTTGTCAAGGAAAACTAAAATTTTTTCAAATTTTTTGAAAATTTTTTTTAATTTTTAAAAAAATTATAGAATTGAAAATTTCAAAAAAATTTCGAAAAATTCTGGAAAAATTAGAGAGTATTCTCTGACTAATTCTAAGACATTTTTGATCTTATAAATTTTTTCCGAAAGCCTATAGTTTTAGAGAAAAAAATTCTCAAACAATTGTGGAAATTCTATTCAACCGTTTCAACTTTTGGAATTTCATAAGATAAGATGTACGGGATTTCCATTCTCCATGAGGTTGGAGGAAAAAATCGTATTACCTGAGTATTACCTGAGTGCTCATAACATTTATATTTAGATTTTACTCTCAGCGTAGCCCATCTCTTCTCTTAGAAAAGTTTTACCAAAACCTATTTGGGCAGATCGATTGAAGTCGATAAACATAACGTAGTTTTTCAACTCAAAAGTTATTCAAATTCATCCTTTGAAATTAGGAGATTTTGTTAACACTTTCGTGTTTATACTAGCAATGCCTCGAAAAAGATCGAGAAGTGCTGTTTCTTCTGAATCTGGAAGTGAATCTGAATCATGCACCACAGACGATGATGAAAATTGCATGATACCAAATGCAGAATATTCTGGTTCGTCAGATTCTGAAAATGATTCAGATAGTGATTCAGATAATTACCGTGATGAAAAAATACCGAAAGCTACTTACAAGAGAGTTTCAAAAAGTTATCAAGCTGATCAAGCTAAGCTTGAAAAAGATTATAAATTTGATTGGGTAGATGGTGAAATATATATTCTGATATAATTGAAGATAAAATATTATTTCCTAGATCTACAAAAGAAAAAATTAGAAAATGTGATCCAAGAGAACTGTTTGAACATTTTTTTTCTATTGAAATGAAAAATTATATTATCGATGCATGCAAGGAAAATTATTTTGACTTATCATTAGTTGATCTAAATACATTCATCGGAATCATTATAACAAGTTCATTCAATAAACGAAAATCTCAAAGAGATTATTGGTCAACTGACCCTTTTTTATCTTGTGAAAAAATTTCTTCAGCAATGTCACGATCTCATTTTGAAATGATAAAGTCTAAATTGAAATACTCAAAGGCCAAAGATAAATATCCACAAGATAAGGCTTGGCGAGTTCGTGCTTTGTTGAAACTGTTTCAAAAGAATATTCTGAAGTTTGGCTTTTGGAAATCAGCTTTATCAGTGGATGAAATGATGGCTAAATCGTATGCTAGAACGTGTTTGAAACAGTTTATACGAGGAAAACCTACACGATTCGGTCTTAAATTTTGGGGTTTGTGCGCTGCTAATGGATACTTATTCAATATAGATTTATACTGTGGAAAGAACTCTGTAATAGGAGATAAGTTATCTAAATGCGCTTTAGGATCTCGCGTGGTTTTACATTTATTGCAGCCTTTTTTTGAATTGACTTCTGATGCAAAAATTCCTCTTTATCATCTTTATTTTGACAATTACTTTACAAATTTAGTTCTTGTTGTGCATTTAAACCGATTAAAATTGAAATGTACTGGAACTGTTAGAGACAATTGTGTCCCAGTAAAAAATGTCATTCATAAAAAGGCTCCACGTGGAACATACGAGGTGTGTTCAAAAAATAACGAGAATTTTCGTTTTATGAAAAAAATATTTATTTATTCATCTACATTAATGTTGTCGCTTTCAAAGTAGTCCCCTTCGGATACAATACACTTATGCCAACGCTTTTTCCAATCCTCGAAACACTTTTGAAACTCGATCTTTGTAATAGCTTTTAGCTCTTTCAGCGATTCGCTTTTAATGTCATCTATGCTTGTAGAACGATGGCCTTTTAATGTTCTCTTTATTTTTGGAAATAGAAAAAAGTCACATGGAGCCATATCTGGCGAATATGGAGGCTGAGGCATCGTTACAGTTTCGTTTTTGGCCAAAAATTCACGAACAAGCAATGAAGTGTGAGCAGGCGCATTATCGTGGTGCAAAAGCCATGAATTGTTTTGCCACAAATCCGGGCGTTTTTTTCGGATTCTTCACGCAAACGACGTTGAACTTGTAGGTAGTACTGCTTATTGATTGTTTGACCTTGTGGCAAGAATTCATAATGCACTATGCCATTAAAATCGAAGAACACAGTGAGCATAACCTTCACATTCGACCGCACTTGTCGAGCCTTTTTCTGTCTTGGCGATCCAGAATGCCTCCACTGGGACGATTGAGCCTTAGTTTCGACATCATATCCGTAAACCCATGTTTCGTCACCTGTTATAACACGTTTTGTAGTTCTGCATCGTTATTGACTTCATTTAGCGACTCCTGAGCAACTTCCATTCGCCGCTGTTTTTGTTCGAAATTCAACAATTTTGGAACGAATTTTGCTGCCACACGTTTCATACCCAAAACATTCGAAAAAATTTGATGGCATGAGCCAACTGATATGCCAACATCATCAGCGACTTCTCTGATTGTGATTCGGCGATCATTCATAACCATTTCTTTCACTTTTTTCACGTTTTCATCGGTTGTTGATGTGCTTGGGCGTCCGGGTCGTTCGTCATCTTCAACGTTTTCGTGGCCATCTTGGAAACGCTTATACCACTCATAAATCCTTGCTTTACTCATAGCAGACTCACTATATGCCTTTGTTAACATTTGACAAACTTTACTACACTTTATTTCATTTTTTACGCAAAATTTAATACAAATTCTTTGATCCATTTTTTTTCACAAACGAAAATCGCCGAGCTCGAAAAACACGTCTAACGTTAGCGGCTGCCACTTAAAAAGTAAGCAATGAATATTGCTGAAAATTTTATCGTACTTCAGGGGCATGTGTACCAACATAATAAAAAAAAATTTATACAAGCGGACTCTCCAAACCCGCGAAATTTCAAAATTCTCGTTACTTTTTGAACACACCTCGTATGCAGTAAAGCATGAAAAAAACTCTGGAATAAATTACATCACGGTTATGGATTCAAAGCCAGTATTAATACTATCTACAGCTGCAGGGGTCACTCCATTATCATCAGCAAAGAGATACAGTTCGATCGAAAAAAAAAGTCGATATACCAGTTCCGCAAGCTTTTCACCTATATAATTAGTCCATGGGTGGAGTTGATGTACACGACGGTCACTGTAACAAGTTGATGCCAAGTATTCGTTCAAAGAAGTGGACGTGGGTGATTTTCATTAGACTTATGCAAGCAGCAATTACAAATGCAGTTGTAATATTCAATGCTGCTGATGATAGTAAAAAAAAAGTTGGAACTAAATAATTTGCAATGTCAATAGCGAAAAGTTACATTCATGATGCTGAAAAAAATAAGGAAAAGCATACAACAATTCGAAAAAAGAAACAGAACAAGTGTTCCATTTGTCCAATAAGAACATATGTGTACTGTGAGAAGTGCAATTTGTTTTTTTGCATTGCATGCATGAAAGCAAAGCATGTCTGATTACAGTGAAAGACCAGAGAACTCACTATAAAAAAGCACCTCGTAGAGTGAGAGGCGAGGGGACTCACTATAAAAAAGCACCCCGAGGAGTGAGAGGCAAGGGGACTCACTATAACAAACACCCCATAGAGTGAGAGGCAAGGGGACTCACTATAAACAAGCACCTCGAAGGAGACATGATTTTACTACGTCCACGCTGTTGTCTCTGGGTTACGCTAAGAGTAAAATATAAATATAAACTGAAAGTAGTCACACTTTAGAGGTACTTACGCAATACTTTATTTAGAACCTCTTGATAAATTAAACTTAGGTACGTTTATACCCCAATTTATCTTATGAAATTCCAAAAGTTGAAACGGTTGAATAGAATTTCCACAATTGTTTAAGAATTTTTTTCTCTAACTGTCTTGAAAAGCACTGTTGGAAAAGAAATGCGGAAATTGGCACTTAAAGACTTGCACATCAATTATAATGAAAAAGGACTATTGGAGAATGAATTGTTGGTGATTAACCAATCTATTTTCAAGTAGATGAGAATTTTACATTGAGTTTTTATAAGAAAGACTTTATTTAAAGAGTTTTTATCAGAAGAATACCTATTCCAAAATATTTATTAAATTAAAGCTTGAATAAATATTTAGCGACCTTAAATACTCTTATAAAGAATCGTCTATGCATTTTTTAAAATTTGTATACACTTTCACACCTAATTCCTTTAGAACGTAAAGAGGTAGTTTTTACCTTTAAAATTGAGATTTTGTCGATATAAAAAAATACGTATCAAATATTTTTTGATTTTCTAACTATGTCCAATGTTTCATCCTAAACGGTGAGTGATAGGTAATGTTACTTATTAGAGCTGATACTATGTAGAATATAGAAATGAAATAACACATTTCTATACAGAATTCCTCAAGAAGTATTTCCTTAAATATGCCTTGCAATACATTTTCTAAAAAAAAAATAAAAACTCAAAATCATGAGCAATAATCTATATGAAATAGAATAAAATTCATCTTTGAACCGCTATAACTCAATATTTGTTTTATAACCTCGGCAGCTGCCAATCCAGGATAAGGTGTAGATCCAAGCGTTATAATTTCCCATATTATAATACCAAAACTCCAAACATCTGATTTCACCGAAAAGATATTATCAAACAAACTTTCAGGTGCCATCCATCGTATAGGTAATCTACCTTCGGATTTTCTTTCATAGACTAGATCAGCTGTAACATCACGTGCAAATCCAAAATCAGCCACTTTACAAACTCGATTTTCATCAATCAAAACATTACGTGCAGCAAGATCACGATGTATAATGCATTTTGATGCGAGATTTTCCATGCCTTTTGCTATCTGAAATAATTAAATTTTAAAATAGGTACAGATCTAAATTAAAAGATTATGGTAAAAATAATATTGAAATAGTGTATGTTTTAATAATTAAAAATTTCGAATAAGATAAATCATTGAAATAATTTGATATAGCTAAGCAAGCGTGGAGAATTTCTTTCTAGTAACGAGCGAATGTCATAACTTGTGTCTTCCAGTCTCGACCGTCTCTGGCCATGTTTACGCTATTACTTGATTAATCATTTTAAACCAAGCAAAATTTACGTATTAGCGACTAACCTAACTCAAAGATAAATAAATTTATTAATCGTTTAATAACATGTCAGTCCAAATCAGCCTTTAATATTTTAACGAGCCCTGTTCATTAAGGATGCTCATTTGCCTGAGCCGGCTAGACGGCGACACCGACTGGCTCGTGACTTATCAATTAGGCTTCACACGCATACGACAAGAGAGAGAGAGAGAGAGAGAAAGAGAGAGAGCATGGGAGGTAGATACTCGAGTACTGGCGACGGAATAACATCAACTTGCGAGATAACTGGTGCGAGATGCTGCCGAATCCCAAAAAAAGAAAAAGTGGATAAAAAACGAAGTGTAAGGAGAGACGAGACAAGTGGTCGAGTAAAAGAGGATCAAGAGAACGTAGTTACCTGCGTCGTATTATCAAATAAAAAAGCTCGCTAGCATTCAATTGTAAGCGTGTGTGTCCAAATTTCTGCCACGAAAGCGTACCGCGTTATTAGTTCGCGTTAGCTATGGTTTTCTCTTTCTCTCTTTACCGTGATTCGACGTTTGTAGTATGTAGTCTCTTGGCTTAACTGGTGTATTTACGTATATATATATATATATATATATATACACATGTATATGCAAATACAGATATGTTAATTGATATATTTGAAATTATTTGCGAACAAATAATAAATTTAATTAATAAATTTATGGATCAAGAAATTGTAGACTGGGTATCATAGAATTATAACTAATATTGAGTGAGTATAACGATTATACCTAGCAATGTTTTAATAATTTAATAGATCATCAGTGACTTTTTTACATTATTTATGATATTTATTTATTTATTTTCATGTTAATTTAACAAATTTATAATTTTCACTGTTGCTCACTCCCGCGGCATTTAATAGCGTTCGTTTTTTCTCTTTTGTTATGCTTCGTTGTGAAGGATTAAGTACATTTTCTAAGTTATCAGCAAAAGTGGTAGCTTTGTCATTGTTTTAATTATATCTCAATCGTCTCCGGCATGTACGCGTGGGATTTATGATATAAAATCCGAGAAGCCTTTAGCGCAGATGTTGTAAGAGACCCGAGAGGCCTTTAGCGCAGATGTTTTAAGAGACCGGAGAAGCCTTTCGTGCAGATGTTGTAAGAGATACCAGGGAAAGTATTTCACTGCGGGATTTCCCTCACGTGCCATGGAGCCAACAGCCTAATTACGAGGATGGTCCGATAAGTACTTAGCCTACAAAAGAAAAACGAAAATTTTGGAAAAGTGGCATTTTATTTTTCAACATAGTCTCCTTTTAGTTTGATACACTTGGCCCAGCGATGCTCCAACTTCTTTAACCCGTCTGAAAAATACGTTTCCTCGAGGTCTGAAAAGTAGGCTTCCGTGGCAGCAATTACCTCCTCATTCGACTCAAATTTCTGCCCGGCGAGTAACTTTTTCAAGTTTGGAAACAAAAAGAAGTCTTACGGAGCTAAATCTGGAAAATACGGTGGATGGGGCAGCAGTTCGTAGCCTAATTCGACCAATTTGGCCATGGTGACGGCGGAGGTGTGAGCCGGTGCGTTGTCATGGTGGAAGAGCACTTTTTTCTTCGCCAAATGGGGCTGTTTTTTCTGCAATTCGACGTCGAATCGGCCCAATAATTCGGCATAGTACAGCCCTGTGACCGTTTTCCCCCTCTCCAGGTAGTCGATGTAGATCACATCTTGTGAATTCCAGAAAACGGTGGCCATCACCTTTCCGGCCGATGGCAGTCTTCGCCTTCTTCGGAGCACTTTCGCCGGGTAAAGTCCACTATTTCGACTGTTCCTTGGTCTCTGGTGTATACCAGTGGATCCATGTTTCGTTGACTGTCACGAAACGACGCAGAAACTCCTTCGGATTGCGCTTAAACAGCATCAGACATTGTTCTGAAGTTGTCTCACGGTTGCGCTTGTTGTCCGGAGTGAGCAAACGCGGCACCCATCACGTCGACAGCTTTCTCATGCCCAAAATTTCATGCAGGACATGGCCCACGCGGTCTTTTGAGATGCCTACGATCTGAGCTATCTCACGCACCTTCAATCGTCGATCTGCCAATACGAGATCGTGAATTTTCGTCACGTTATCCTCCGTAGTTCTCAATAGAACTCAATAGGTTCGCATAGCCCACTGTCTTTCACCCCTTCGCTTTCAAACACTTTGGAGATCCGGAAGTCAAGTTTGCTACGACATCCTTGACGCACACAGTGAGTCGGAGCCTTTTTAATCTAAGGCGGCGACCTCCTCCAGAGGAGTACCGATCTTTTCAAAGTTCGACGCTCAGGGAGAGCGGAACTAAAGGCTTGACCCTCGGTTTGGACGCGACGGGACTCTAGTTGCCCCAACGTCTACCGCCTCGGAAGCACGCGGCATTCAAATCTTACGAGATTTGCTTGACCTGGTACCACTACCCCGCAGAGGCTAACCCAAATTGGGATGTCAGAAGAGAGACTCAGCTAGGACAGCCAGAGGAAATTCCTAAGACGATCAACCAGCTAAGCCTCCCCTCCTGGGCTCTCGTTCAAAACATCCCACCCTGCGTACCTGTATTAAGGGATTGTTCCTACGACTCACAGGTCCATCGTTTCGACGTGCCATGGCGCGTCTCCCTATTGCGTTTCGGTCATACCCGCTCACGCTGGTGGATATCCGTTATTCGAAAGGAAAGTTGTACCCCGATTTTCGCTTTCTATGGAAGGCTTTTATGACTCGCTGATATTGATCTCTGCTCTTTCGATTGATATTTTCTGACTTGGGTCAGGGGCGGGGTCTCGCCTAGCCGACAAGGCGACTCCCCAGGCAGTTTTCAATATTCGTGCCAGTCGTGCCACTCATTTGAATCAATTTCCAATATTAGGCTAAATCGGGTATTCTAATTCGCGTTCAAAACATCGAACTTCGGAGTTTAATTCAGATGTTCGATGCTCAAGTAAGGATAAGCGTTGTGTGTTTTGCCTACTGTTTCTTTACAGAAACAGCGTTTTCAGCCCCACCACGTGAAGGTACACACATCCGCACTTGTTATTGCAAGTCTTCGTTCAAATATACATTGCATTCACTTCGGGTTGACTAGCATTAGTTGCTTGTCGAGGGCAATCGGTGACGTATTTTGTACTTCAGCATTTGCATTTGCATATGCCCGTACAGAAAAGAGAAGTCTACGACGTCCTCTCCCAAAACAACGAATTGTTTGTTTGAGAAGTCTCCTTTCTCTGTTAAGGAAGACAATTACTCGCCGCCGCTTTGACAAAAGATTTTTGCACAAAGTGACCTGGCCAGCCTCGCGGCATTATGTGCATCATCTATGTTTTTGCTAAGAGGACCATAATCGAGCTTCCTGAGAGCGTCGTGATTGCAATCATCTATCCTCCGTGGTATCCGTTTTCGGAGCACCTGGACGTGGCTCTTCAAAAATCGACGTGCGACCACGTTGAAACTCGTTAAACCAATTTTTGACGGCCGCTATCGAAGGAGAAGAGTACACAGCATCCAAGCGCTTTTTGATTTCGCTGCGCGATTTCCCCTCCAAAAACAAGAATCGAATCACCGACTGATACTGCTCTTTTTCTATTTTTCAAAAATCAACGGACACACTTGCTTTCACACGCTCTCAAAAATAAACTACAACTCCGATCCGGCTGAAATCTTGACAGTAACAATCGAGAAGGTTTTACTACGTGATAGAATATTTCTCATCGGGCGGTGAGGCTAAGTACTTATTGGACCACCCTCGTACGGTGGGGTCCAGCTGTGAGACAGCCCGAGGAAACGGCTATACGCTCGACGGAGCCAGTTTCGGATGACACTAACCTCGTTGGTCGCTTGCTAATGAGAGAGCGGAGTTTCCCTCGGGTTTTTATATTTAGTGCGTTTGTTTGGCGAGGAGGCTCATCTCTCGGGAGTTAGTCGTTACCTAGTTGTTACGGGAATAACAACGGCATCTCCGCCTCACTGTTAGTGCGATATACGTTTTATTTTGTTCTGATCTTAAAATCTAAGTTAGTTTTACTCGGACGCGCCTTTACTTAAGTGGCTGTTAAAGTTTATATTTGCATGTACTCCTACATGCGAGGTTTGAGTGGTCATTGAATTGTTTGAGGGCTGTACCCCGCTTGATTAAGCCTCAATTTCACTGTGTCATGTGTGACGTCTAGACTTAATAGTTTTGTAAGTGCATTAAGTTAAATTCAATTATTATAAGTTTAAGTATCCGGCTTTTGCCTCCACTCATCGAGTGGAGGTTTTTTATGCCCATCTTCCTTTGTTGAATATACGTTCCCTTATTGTTTTTATCAAAATAGTTTTCTTTATTTATCCTCCAGTTCACACACTCTTAACTAAAAAACTTAATCTAAAAAACAGTCATTAATTTTTCTTGCCCATGATCTATCAAATTTTAAGATGAGAGAGGAAAATGTTTGTTGTTGTGTGACGGAGAATTTCGGTTTGCCGGCTTCTCCTTTGTCTCTCTCTCGTCCGTTCGTTGCGCCCGGGCTGAGAGTGTGTTTGTATCCACTCTCATGCCTGCATTTTCTCTGTTTGAGGTGCGGTGAGCGGACATTGGCGGAGCTGGAGGCGGCCGACGAGGCGATGATCCGTTGCCAGGATCGTCATACGGGAGGGCGAGCGGGATGGAGAGGGAGCGGGCTACGCACGCATCCGACGCGTGCGCGGCCGGGGGGGAAAATCGGCAGTATCGTTTGGGCTGGCCGATAGCGTGCGCGCGTTGTTTTCG